CCGTCAAAACCATAAAAACGTATTTTCCCGCCAAAACCGTAAAAACGCATTTTCCCGCAAAAACCGCAAAACACGTTTTCCCGTCAAAACCATAAAAATTTTCCCGCCAATACCGGAAAAACGCATTTTTCCGCAAAAACCGTAAAAACCTGTTTTCCCGCCAAATTTGAAAAAATGTTTTCCCGCTAAAACCGTAAAAACACATTTTTGTGTCAAAATCGTAAACGTTAATTTTTCCAACAAAAATGGAAAAACACATTTTTCATCAAAATCGTAAAATTCCCGCCAAAAATGTAAACACAAATTTATTTTATTCATTTTATTAACAAATTCATTTGGATGCAGATGCAAGTTAAAAACAAACAAACCAACATAGTTACATTCAGATGATTCATCAAGATGTATAGACGAAATAGACAAACGAACAACATCCAGATGCTCCATCTGGATAAGGCATCTGGATGGATCATCTGGATGCATCTTTCAGATGTACAAACGAACAGGGCCTAAATGACTTTAAAAGATAGAAATGGATCTTGTGGCTCCCCAAGTGTCCAAGAAAACTCTTTTGTCGGAAGAAGAAAGATACTCAAAAACCCTAACTAACTAACTCCAGTGTCCACTCTTAAACTTACAAGGAGTTATACAGATTTAGATGTTTTGTTTATTCTAGTGTTATTCATTTACAACTTTTCAAAAGTATGTTAAAGTCTTGTGTTATTGGTTTACAAATTTGTAATTACTAATTAGTAGTTAAAAGTTTACAAAATTCTAGAGTTATTGGATTCATTACTTTATAAAGTCAATGAAAGTTTTGTGTTATTCAAAAGAAATGAAAGTTAACTGATCTTTTCATACTTTAAGCTTCTCTTATCCTTTGTCCTCCTCATCTCCATTCTTCTTTCTTTTAACCTCTTCATCATCCTCTCTTATCTACGTTTCAATCCTCAATCTCTCCCCAGTTTCTACCGTAGTTTCTGAGTATATTCGAGCTCTTGTCATTGCTAATGCTATTGCCGAACCATTTTATTTTATTTTGTGTTTTTTCCCAGCATGAGAAGTAGCTACACACTTCTAGAGTATGACACGCTGACCGCAGAGGAAATAGCGTATTCTTTTAGTTTTTTTGGAACATTAGGAGGTTATGGTATGGGAATTGTGTCTCGTTGAACCTCACATGTCGTGATGTATAAATGCGATCATTAGTAGGATCTAAGCACAAATAAGCGCTTTGAGACAGTGAGTATCCAACAAACACACAAGGTGTGGAACGGTTCTCAAGCTTGTTAGGGGCATATGGGCGGAGCCACGGGTAACAGAGACTACCAAACGTGCGGAGTTTACCGTAGTTAGGGATTGTGTGAAAGAGTTTCTGAAAGGGAGATTGGTTTCTGAGAGTGGGTGTAGTAAGACGGTTTATGAGAAACACTGCCGTAGCAAAAGCTTCGGGCCAGTACGTCAATGGCATTTTTGCAGTGGATAAAAGAGAGAGACATGTCTCCACTACATGTCTGTGTTTCCGTTCGGAGAGGCCGTTGTGTTCAGGGGTGTGGGGTGGGGTGGTTAGGTGTGAGATGTCGTTGGTGGCTAGGTATGATCGCAGGGCCAAGTATTCCCCTCCATTATCGGTATAAAGATGTTGAATCTTGGTTTTGAATCGGTTTTCAACCAAAGGTTTAAACTGGGTAAAGATGTCTTTAACTTGGGACTTAGCAGTAAGAGGAAAAAACCATGTATACCGAGAGAAGTGGTCTACAAAGACAAGATAGTATTTTTGGTTTTTGTTTGAGAGGACTGGTGATTGCCAGACATCAGAGAATAAGTATTGAAGAGGATGAGAAGATGTTATTGAGCTTTGGTGAAACGGCAATTTGTGAGTTTTATTCAAAAGGCATTCATTGCAAGGAAAAGAACAAGATTTGGTGTTTAAGAAAGGTAAAGAAAACTTTGAAACAACAAATTTGAGAGTAGATAAGGAGGGGTGTCCAAGCCGGTTATGCCATCGATCCAAGGTAGTTTTCGTATCAGGGTAGGTTGCATAGGCGGATGGGTTTAGGGTAGGCTTGGGCCACTCATACAGATCACCCTTCGTTTGACCGTGAAGTAGACGCTCCCCCGAGCTGAGATCCTTCACCTGAAAGTGTGCAGGGAAGAATTCAACAGACACTTTATTAGTATTGCAGAGTTTATGCACAGATATTAAGTTCTTGTTGACATGTGGAACACATAAGACATCATTAAGTTTAAGAGGATGAGAGGAAGTAGGGATAGTCATTGAACCAGTGTGAGTGATCGACATGGTGGAGCCATCTGCAATTGCAACCTCTTCGCCGCCATTGTAAGGTTGATGAAGGGCTAGATTGTTGAGGTCGGAGGTTAGATGGTGCGTTGCTCCACTGTCAAGAAGCCACAGACTCGGATTGTATGGCGTGGCGGTAGCAAAGTTGGCTCGTGGCTGCCAAGGTGGTGAGGCATTCATGTACTGCTGAGGATTGGCTGAGAAACCTCCGGACCTATGATTTTGAGTGCAGCTACGTGCGCTATGACCAAAGATCCCACATATTTGGCATTTGCCTTGATACCCACGGGGATATGGCTGTTGTGGGTTTCGTGGTGCAGGTGCACTGAGATGTTGTTGTTGCTGCCAGGTTTGGTTCCCACGGTATCCTCCACGACGGGGGTTGGTGGTTTTGCTGCTGTTGCCTCTGTAGTTTGTGTAGTTGGCAGTGACAGGAGTGGATGGATTCGGAGTGACAACGGTTTGTAGTTTGGTTTCTTGATTGATCAGCTTCACATGTAACTCAGCGAGTGATGGTGCTGTGTCTCTACTCTCCACTTGATCGATCATCGTCTTGTACTCTTCTGGGAGACCACGTAGGATTTTCTCAATCTGATCCTCAAGATCCATGGGTTTCCCGAGGACTGCAAGTTGGTCAAATCGAGTTGTGAACCCTTGAAAGTAGTCGTTGATTGACTTGCTTCCCTTGGTCCAGTTATCAATCTGGTGCTTGACTTGTAAGATGTGTCCTCTTGTCGGTTTTGCATAAGTGGAGTTGAGAAGCAACCAGATCTCTGCAGATGTGTTTGTTGTTGAGAGGATGGGCTGGATCGTTGGGGTGATGGCGCCTAAGAGTCCACTGTAAATAAGTCTGTCTTGGCGCTTCCAGAGGGTATTGGCAGGGTTCGGGGCTTCGCCTGCATCAGTGGTGATCGTGACCGGAGGGATCACTGTGGAGCCGTCAAGGTAGCCGGATAAATCGTACCCATCTAGGAGTGCTTTGACTTGTCGGTTCCACATGAGGAAATTTGTGGAAGTGAGTTTGGTGATATTCGTCATGTTGATGTTGAGGAGAGTGGGCGTGGTGGAAATATGGATCGTCTCGCTGTTGGTCGCCAAAGTGTGTGAGGTTTCCGACATTGAAGTCGTGGAGTTGCAGAAGCGTAGAAAAGAAAAGTTTTGAAATTTTTGGGGTGGCGGCTTAAAGCTGCTCTGATACCATATAGGATAATAGGTCTGAATGAATACTTTATTAACACTGATACAGAGTATTTATACAGGGTAGATACTAGGTTACATAACGTATTCTAATGTATTTACAGGATAGTCCTTTAGTATATCTATATTGCCTCATAGGTTAGATGTTGAATCTCGTAATTCTCCATGCATAAAACTTAATTTTGTCTCAGTGGTCACTTGAACTGTGGACCTCTTTTTCAGTTGAGCTAACGACCTCTCGTAATAAAATGTATTCTTCTTACAGGAGCAAGAACAACAAAAAGGAGGAGATTTGGTATTGGCCTAGTCACATCATTCATTATCATCACAAACACCACACTTTGGGTGAAAAAGCGGGCGAAAAGGTGTAGTTCAAAGCTTTTATACACAATAAGCTTAAAACAAAGCAAAACTAAACATCTTGTGCAACAAAAAAGAAGAATAAAAAAGCAGGTGAAGTTATGGATCTCATGTCATAAATTAATGTAGTATTTTCTTTCATTAGCTCATAGTTTCACTTAGACGTGCACTGTAATTGTAGTTTTTTATTCTCTGTTGTGATTTTTTTAAAAGCAAAAATCGTATCACAAGTCCTCTTGACTTTTTAAAGAAAAATTGGCTAATAAAATTTAGAAAGGGACACATTATAAACATAAACATCTATTTCTAATGGAGCATTCTTTAATGGAGCTGAGCTACCTGTCCATGTGAGCTATTCGAATATTTAATTTTCATCATTCCAGTCAGATAAACGTATAATAAACTCATCTGTCAAGGAGTAATTCGATCAATAATGTAGGTTGTTACGGACATTCGCCGCTAGTCTAGATCCACTTCGACAGAGTACAAGATACAACGGGTTATTCAAAAACAAAATTACAAATATCCTCCGCTAACAAAAGGAAGAAAAAGAAACACTAGCAATGTAAAAATAGTACTAAACAAAGAAGTACCTTTTACAGGTAATGGAGCTAATGTATGTTTCCACAATCACAAGTCAAGACAAAGTCTAAAAGCTATACATCTCTTTCCTTAATGGTCCTTGTGGAGTTTTTTTCACATCCCACAGATGCTATTAGTTCAGTAAAGTTAGTAATCATAATACCAAACAAAAATAGAAAATAAAATGAAGAAACAAGTGTGGCCATAATGGGTGCAAGCAACTATAAAAGTGCTACAAAAAAGGGGAAGAAAGAGTGGAACCCCATGATCACATCTTTTAACATGTCTCTCTGCAAATTGTAAAGATTCCTGCAAGTGGTGGCAAAAAGGCCAAATCTCCAAAATCATATTTTGTTTCTTTATAGAAGAAAGAAACCAATAACATTCATCAAATTAACAACCAAAAAAGTTAAATAGAGAAAATGATTTATGTAACGGTAAAACGGTGATTATTATTTGCCTTGTCCATCCTCAAAGAGACACTCTCTTTCTCCCTTTGAAAGCTTCATCCACGGCACCAAATCTATCTCTTTCTCTCTTGACTCGACATTTCATTTAAGTTTCTTCAATCTTTATCTTCTCTTAGACTCTTGTTCATGTGGAAGCTGTTGTGTCTTGAACCGCAAGGCGTTGAGAGATATCAGCTAAAGATTTAAGATTGCATTTGATAAGAGCCTCGACAAAGTAACAAGTCTCATCCTTTGTGTTCCCTTCTGGTACATCCACCACAAAGGACTCGATCACAAGTGTCCCTATTCGTCCTCCTTCTATCGTCTCAGGGTGAAGAGAGATGACTGAAGAATAGTTCTTCTCAAATTAAAAAAAAAAAAAACAGAGTAATATTAATTAGCAAATGGGTTTGAAATAAAAATGAAACATTGATTAAAATTTTTACCTTGAGTCTGTGATCTCCACCAACGATCCTGATGCTGAGAATATGCTCGTTCTCATCAAGCAACTCTAATCTCTCAGTGCTTCTAGTAGCTGGTAAACCTGACTTCACATCAACCTCTCTTACAGTACCAATCTCCATGTTACCTTTCACCACACATCTACTGATAAATGGTTTGTACTTTTGTGGCTGGTCGAATCTTCTCACAAGTGACCATACCTAATATAACCAAACAGATAATCAAAACCTAATTCATGAGTTCTTTTTAATAAATGAAATATCAAAAGTTTCTAAAATCAATCTATTTCCCTATACTTCGATTAGATGTATCATAAGAGATTGTGAATCATCATTATCAGTTTGTAGATCATCTAATCAAATATAATGATCCCAAAATCATCTATCAATTTTTTTTGTGGCTAAATTGATCTCTAATATTGTTTACTAAATTAGCTAAGAGATCTTGTTATTGGAGATGATTCATATATTTTAGAATACTATCGGAGTTATAAGAACAAAAATATATTTGATTAAAAACGAGATCCCGATGAACTAAGGTTTACTGGATCCGACCATATTCAAGGCATATCAATAGAAAACTTATAAACCAATTAAACTGAATAAAGACTAAACAATCAGTTGAACTTAGATGATAGATTCACATTTCTTGATTAAACTTAACAAAATATGAAGAGCTTGTTGAGTCAAAATATATGCATTAAACCTAATCACATAGAGAAAAACAGAGTGCATGTAGAAGAGAGAAGAAGAAGGTTTACGATGTGAACAGGAGCTTGGATGTGTTTGACAAGCGTAGAGCTGCACTGATTCTCCAGAAGCGTATGCTTATGATGATGCCTCCTTATATACTCTCTTTCCAGGTTCATCTCCATCCCGCTACCTTCCATCTTCCTCTTCCTGCTTCTAAATCACGTGTTCGATGAGCTTCTGAAGATCTAATCTTGAAAAAAACACTCTTAGGCTCCGGTAAAAGCGTTAATGTTATGAAGAAGGTATAGATTTGAGTCGCCGTCTCTCTTTAGATGAAGAGAGAGAGAGAGAAGAAGACTCTGTCCCAACAAACTTTTCTCTTTCTGTCTTAATACTTTTTTTAAATCTTAGCTAATTAAATAGTCTAAGATATTCAAACAGTAAAATAAAAAAGTAACACATTTAAAATTGATTGATTGGATAGATGAAGCTCTTTCACCACTCTTATTGGACAGTTTCTTATCCCCCAAGTTCAGATTATATAACAGAAATGCCATTCTCTGTCGATTTCTTGATGCTTATTGACGGTTTTACCCCTTAAGTGTGTTAATTATTATATGCTGATTGGTCATAAAAAATTACGGTTCCTGGAGTTTTAGCCTATGAAAGAGCTGAGTTGAAAACTTTTGTTTTTTTCTTTCTCATTTCGAGAACAAGTAGAATACGTAACTGTTGAACCTGTTGAAGACTTGAAGTTATATTACTATCATTTGATCATTTTGGATATACGGATACTTATTACATGCTAAATTCTATTTTGTTATTTATTCATTTTGTATAATTGTCCCAACTTAAGAGTTTTTGTTTAAATATGAAATAGAGCCGAGAGGGATTGGTGGGGGTTTTTTTTTTTTGTTTAATCTTGGGATATTCCAAGTCTATGGAGAAGTCCAGATTAATCTCCAAAAGGGTGGTACAACCCACGAATGGACCCACACTCCGAATATTCAAACGGGCCGTAAGATAGAACTATATCCGCATGGCCACAAGATAAAATGTAGTGAGATGCCTTCGAATCTGGGTTGTTTAGCAAATCCTAAAGGTCGCCTACCACTAGACCACTATCTTTTGGTTAAGTGGGGTATTTTAATATTTTTAGTTCTCTACGGTCTCTAAAATTATTATCTATTATATTCTAAGTTGTGCTTGGATTTTCCTCTAATTAACATTTAAGTAGCTCACACTCAAAAGTCAAAACTATAGCCTCCTGTATGTTTAAAAGAAATACAAACCAGATCGATAAACTTTTGATAAACCTAATGGCGAATAAAGAAAAATTAACTCGAACGTAGATTCTAAAATTGATTCGCACATCTTGTGGGTATAAGTTTGTTTTTTACGTCCAAGTGGTTTGTAATTTAGAATAGTTTATTGTAAATGATAGAACATACTCCTATGTAAGAATCATTTTAGGGTTTGCTTTACGTCTTTAGCTTTTCCTGTCTCGAAGAGCCAATCTCGAGAGAGCGAATAGTCCCACGTGCTTTCTCCAACACTCTTTAAACCACAAAAGGTGTTTATAACACAAAAAGGGTTGGCTCTTATTATAAGACGCATCTAGAAGGAAAATAAAAAGAATATTCATTGCTAACTTTGTAACGTGCCAAAAGCATTCTCTCGATAGTACTACTACTACCTTAAAGTATACAAGTTATTAGAGCACCTCCGTCCTGAAATACTTGATGAGTATTAAATAATATCAGAAATTATATTTACACTTGTAATTTAATAAATGATTCCACTTCTTTGAGACCCATCTAGCCAATTGTAAAAACGGCTTGCTCTTTGATATTTGTAAGTGCTTTTTAATATTTCATCGGTTTCAAATTATCTGATGTTTTAGAAGGTTTATATTGTTTTAAAATATATAATGTTATAAGGATGTTTTAAGATTTAATAAAATTAATTTTAACTTTATTAAAAATTATTCCTCCAATAAAAGTTTACAGTATTTTTTAATTGGTTAAACGATTTTAAAATTATATCTTTAAAAATGCTTTTTAGAAGAATGTAAATTTCTTAATTTTTGTGTACTAATCCAAAACACCAGAAACATAGAGAATATTGCATAATGTTTCTTTGATGACATACAGTCTTAGAGTTAAATTACAAAAAGTTACAGTACGATGTAATTCGTAGTAAAAATTATGTGGTAGTAAATTGTTATAGAAAGTTCGTTGTAAGAATATGAATTACTATTTTTCAGAAGTAAATGACTAGTAACAAATTTGATGTATTAGTTGCAGTATGAACTACTTTAAAAAAAAAATATATATATATAAAATTACAAATCAAGGAAATAAACCTAAACAAGTATACATAATAATGAAAGTAATTTGTAATATTACATATATTTTTTATGGAACATAACTAACAAGTAAGATCATAAAATAAGTGCTAAATAATATAAATGAAATTAAGAAAGTTTTATGAAATTCTTTAAATAAATTGTAAATAACTATATGATTTTAAAAATATATTGCATTAATTGGCAAAAAAGCAAATTAAACGTCGGCATACATGGCATGTATTAAAAATCATTAAAATCTTAAAAGATTAAAAAGTAACCATGGAACAAAACAAATAATGCTAACTCAACTTTCTAATACTTGAGTTTTTCTTTAAAATTATTTATTTATTGATTGGAGTTGTAAGTTTTATAAAGGGAATAAATTAAAATTGTAAATAAACTATAACATTATAACTTAACCATAAACTCAAAAACTTAAAACCATTTCATGATTGATAACATTTTTGAGTTATATTCATACCTCAAAATTAATCGAGTAATTCATGTCACTAATCAAAACCTTTAACAGCGCCGACTCTAGCCGCCATGCCAACAAGCAGTTCGTAACTCCACACTATCTTCCATCGTCTATATAAATTCAATCTTTATAGTGTTTAACATGCCATGGTGTTATCAAGTTGACATCTACCATGACATTGTAGCTATTAGCACTCATCCGGCGATCATTCAATAATCAACAGTTCTTTGATGCTATTGCTTTGATTTGGCCATTCTCTCTAAAAGATCTTGGCGCATTATCCAACAATCAGTCTTTTTATTTCTGTTTTTGGCATCATTGATATTTATCTAACTAATAGATTTTTTCTCATAACTATGAAAATATTTGATATTGAGAAGAAAAGACAATGTTTTGATTAAAATAAATTGTTTGTTGTTTCAGAACTAAACGACAAGGTTAGGGGGGTCCATACTTCAGACGCCAAGTCCATAGTTTGGATAAAACACTTAACAATTTAAAGTAATATTTTCTGAAGATTTTCTATCGTCATACATTCACTTTTGATTTTTCTTCTTCTAAATCTAAAGTCTTCAACCGTTGGACCAACACTTAATTTTATAAGAAAATATTCTTTCACATAACTGAATTAACACACTTCGAATGAGTGGAAATCGTAAACTAGGGGTGTGCATATAAAGAAAACTGCCAGATTTATAAAAGAAAAAAACTATTTTAGTTTGAAATCATATATTTTAACAAAACAAATTTTGAATTTAGAAACACGTAAATTACGATACTATACATTAAATAATTAAGAAAAAACTCTACATTAAATAATTAATAAAAAACTCCGTAAAAATATCCCAACTAAATTTCGTCAAATTTTTTAATACTTAAACTTTTTCACTATCCATTTTAATATCCAAACTAATCATTTTACTCATTTTAATACATAAAATTTTATAATTGTAACCATTTTAATACTCAAATTTTGTTTAACATACCAATAAGTTTCAAACAGCTTTTTTTAAAAAAAATCTTCAAAATCTAGGAAAAATATTGAAAATTTCTGTTTTGCTTGAAGATTTGAGAAAGTAGGTAAATGGACTCCGGAAAAATTTTAAATGCTTAAAAATATAATTTTAAAGAAAAACTAATGAATTTATTTTTATTTCAGAAAATAAACTAAATTCAATATCTAAAACTTAAAAAATTACAAAATCTAATATTATAAAAATTGTTTACTTTTATTTCTCAAACAAAACTAAAATTAGAATCTTCTTTAAAGTTTAGAGATTTTTAGAATTTCATTTGAAACTTATTAGTAGTTTTTATTAAAATAAACAAAGTTTGAATATTAAAATAAACACACTTTAAAAGGTTGTGTATAAAAAAAAAAAAATAGTTGAAATATTAAACTGGGTAGCGAAAAAGTTTAGATATTTTTATGGAATTTTTCCAATAATAAAATATTTAATGACTAATAGTATCTTATTCCATGGTGGAATTACTTCTATCGCGAATAAAGTACCAAATAAATTTTCTAAAATGATCGATAGAAAATAATACTAACCAAAATTGAACACTAAAAATAGCTTGCTGTTATGGAAATAAAATTGGAATTAGTTAAAAATATCTGTAATCCTTTCAACCAGATCACTTCTTTAATTGCTACCATTCGAGATGTTTAATATCTGACACTAAGGACAAGAAGATGTAAGTATCGCATAAATAGTAAGCCCATTGATTTGATGTAAAAGGACAATCACCTTTGTAGAGTGGGAATGTTTAGATTTACTTCATGCGTTGAATAAGGTATAAATACTTAAATAGTATGAAAATGACTTATTATACATTATCCAAATAAACTTAATTGAAAAGAAAAAGAGTGGACCCAAAACAAAGGTGTGGAGGAGATGAATAAAGAAAAAACAGATTATAAAGAGAGAAGCGAGGATCATGTGTTGCAACTTGCATTTATCTTTATTTAGCCCTTTTAGCATTTCAGCTAACCCAACGTGAGCGCCATCAATAACCTTCTGAATAAAATTTGCGCACTTCTTTCTCCATCTCTGTTGTTTATTCACATAATGTACGCCCATTAGCACCAGCTACTATAACAAACCACACCAGTTTTTTTTCATCACAACATCAATGTAATCTTTACCACAACTAACGCAGAGAGGAACGAGGTAACTCAGGTAATGGCCGGCAAAGGAATGGGAAGGAACTACAAAACATTGATTATTGGATGATAAGATATAGATAAAAGTGAGAGGAAGAGAACAAATGGTATGAGAGAGCACCAACCAAACAGAATAGAGCAAAATGAATAAACAAAAATCGAGGACAGGTTCAAAGCGTCGCCGTCCTTAAGGCAAGGCATGTGCCATATATGCAACACAAAACCAAAATAATAAAAATCCTCACACGTTACAAGTAGCCACAAAGCACACAAACTACTAAATCAATTTTAATATTTATCTGTCTCTCTCTGCACATGCCTTAAATTTCGACCCCAAGAGCATCTTTCTTTTCCCCTGCCTTGCCACCTTACTCTCCCGCTTTCTCACCCTTGGTCTCTGGTTCAGTCTCCGGTTTTGGTTCCGGTATAGCATCGGAGACCG